CAGTCAGCTAGCCTCCTGTAACTGTCATACACACAACTTTAAGTGTAACTGTCAGCGTAACCGTAGAGTCTAGGATAACCACTATTTAATACAGTTTAACACATCATGTCTTGTAATTCAAATGGATTTAACCAAAACCTCGACCTTTACTTAAGATAACCAAGTGCTTTGAGGATCTAAAGATAACCATTTAAGAAATTAAAGGAATACTTCATGAATAAAATGATCATCTGTGTGCCAGTTACTCATCTTGTGTGACCTTGAATTTGTGAAAAATGGGGACCATGTTCAATAACCACAAAACTATATCAAAACATCCATTTACAAACTCTCATACAACTCCTGCAGTATAATCTATGTCTCATTTATCCAGTCGTTTACTCAGTACACATGCATTTTCACTTAAACTTTACCAGTTAAAACACTTCTACATACAAGTAGCGTGCCGAGGCAAACATGCAGATTTAAAACCCCTGCTCCTGCTTCTTTTGAGTTGCCCATCATACTGCTCATATGTGGAAGTGTTTTAAATGGTAGGGTTTTAGCAAAAATGCATGTATTAAGGAAGCACTGAGCATCCAGTGTGAGACTTTGCAAACAAATATTTTGATAGAATTTTGCTGTTGTTGAACTCTTCACTTCAGCTAATCAGAAATGTTTGCTGTTTTTATATTCTTCATTCACTGTTGAGAAATTTGACATCAACAGTTTTCTTAACAAAATCAGTCTAAGGCTGGGGGTTTAATAGATATACAAGTGATCATTATGTGGGTGAAGTGTTCCTTTAATCACCCTCCCATTGCTTTGCGAAGATTTACCTTTGCAAGAATGGATAAAGGGGAAACAAAGAAATTTGTGGTTCTCAACATTTTTGCAAATACGTCATAGTAGACACATTTTTCATTTTCATTATGTTTACAAAAAAATATATAGATGGCATTGAATTTCTCATAAGACATAGGCTATTTGTTCTAAATCAGTAGTAGGGCGTCGATCTCATTTCAACAATAGGTGACAAATAAGACACAGGTGAAGGAAATTTTGAGCATCAAACACTAAATTTCCTGCATTGTGGTGAATTTTTATGCACCAATTTTTGCCTATCTTTCGTTAATTTATGGTGTAAATGTCTTTAATTTTGTCAAAATAAAAGTCCTCTGCTTCACAGGTTATTGGTGGGGGAAAAAATGTCTAAATATTGACATTGATACGTCCCCTGTGTCCCCCCTGAATCCTACACCTATGTTTATAGGAGACTTTCATGCTCTGGTATAGCAACAGAAAGTCCCAACACTGACAACCATTGTGTGCCTTTTGTAACACATAAGATTATGCTTGATAAATAACAATTAATCAGTTATTAAAATTGTTGATCAATTTTTCTGACAGTCGGCTAATTGATTTAGTAGATTTATGATGCAGAGCTGCTCCTGTAAATTGCACTCCATGCTGCGATGGTCCACTGGGTCGCTATCTGCAGACATAACTGGAAAACTAATGTTTATCACAAGCACAAGTGCTATTGACCCTTGTGGGTGACATAATTGCTCTTGATGGTAATGACCGTGTAGCCATATGGTAAATGCCATTACACCCTTAAAAGCTCTCAGATTCTATCTATGGTTAACAACACCCTATCCTTCACATAATTATATCCAGAAGCCAGTGTGCCCTGTTGCAGCAGGCACAGCCCAGCAAAGGAAACAAATGACCAACATAACCGCTATTTATAGTAAAGCTAACCATGGTTTAACCATGGGTTACGCAAGTAGGTGGTTTGTTTGGATTCCAGGGAGTGTTACCATGGTGAAATTGTAGTAGAGGAACACACTGTGGGTATCCTCTACGTCTGCATGGAGTAGATCATATTATTTGAATAAAATGTGGGCCATCATGTTGATAAATAAAACAATATGTGCTTGTGATTTAGGTATTTGATTTGGTGACAGCACAATCGCAGAGAAAGTATTTCAAAGGCTCATATCTTGTTTGCGCATCTGAGAACTCAAAATATGCCTGAAGTGACTTTGACTCATTGGCACAGACAAGTCACAGGACACAAAGTCGTCTGAATGTCTACAATCTTCCTGCACTTGTGGTCAGCGTGCCTCTCTTCCCCATAGCTTTTCCGGACATGTGTTGGTAGATTGAGACCAAAAGAGGATGAAGAAGAGGAGGAGGAGGAAAGGGAAAGAAAGACAACAGGCTAATTCATTCAGACGCTTGTGAAAGAGAGGAAGACTCAGTTTCCTCGGAGCATTATAAATACAAGCGCAGTCAGTCATCAAATTATAGCCATCTGCATTGGCCCGAGACCAGGATTCTGGTTGACGCACAATAAAGTAGTGTGAGAAGGGGTGTGGTAGCTGAAGGGGATCAGAGACTGTCCTCTTTGGTGGTTAAACCTCCACACACAGACTGACACCGAGTGTGGCAGCAGCTTCACAGCTCCAGCTTACACTGTTAAGGAGCGGGGATGATCCTTTACAGATAATGATGCCTTGTCAGCGAAATCACCTCGGGCTAGATCTCATCGACACACAGCCCCGAGTCCCTGGAAGATGGACAGTGTAGCTGAGTGTTGCAGTGGAAAACATGAGTCTTGTGATGCATGTCCTCAAAAAACCTCCATGATTCTGTTTCTTTTTCCCATCCTGCAGGAGCGAGTGACTTTTTGCATACCTGTTAGACGGTGTGAGCACAGGAGCAGTTCAAGCAGGAGACAAAAGCAGTGTCACAGAGCAGGGCATTTATACAGATAGCATTTTGAAAATGTGCTTTTCCTACACGAAGCCTATTCTACACAGAGCTTTGCAGAGCTTAGCTGGGGAACTAATGAATCCCAGGTCCAGGTACACTGCAGAGAGTGAAGCTATTGTGTGTATCATTAGAAAATGTGCTCCCTTTTCCTGAAGGCAACAGCAGCAAGCTGAATTTGAACCAGAAAATCCCCAGGCAGAATTGTCTTGGCATCGCCCTCTCCTTCAGCTTTTTATCCCCATGCTCAGTGAACAATCCAACAAAAGCTTGGGTTTAAGAACCATGGAGCTCATTGCGATTTTCTTTGTTAATGCAATTGCCTGTAAGAAAAGATTCTGTTCCCCCATTTTTCAGTTTCAGCCTGAAGGCTCCTGTGCAATTAGCACAAGTCTTTCATTTGGAATACCTTAGCCGTAGCAGAGACTCTCTGAACTGTACCATAATAGCCTCCGGCACAGTCAGTAACAGCTAACGACAATAGCCTCCGAAAAGTGACATTTTGAAAATGAATGATGTGTAACTGTGATAATTTCATTCGATTCAGTAATACAAATGATATTTGCATGTTGAGCTCCAGTCTCGTTTTGAATTGTTGATTTAGTTTTCTTGCAGCTTATCGGTTCGATTTAACTCAGAATGAATAACAAAGTGTAACATGTGATATTGTCAGAAACAATTTCCTGTGATATTTATTTCTGAGAGCCACCAACATGGCGTGTCTGGCTGCAGGAGACTGGTGCTGTGCAGCAGTGTATAATCGACTGTCTCTGTGTATTCGGCCCCAGTGCTGAGACCGTTCATCACTGACTTTGTTCATGACAGAGCAGCCTTGGAACCAAAAGCAAACGCCTCTTAGTGAAATCACAAAAGCATGGGCACGATGATAAAAGCTTTGCTTTCGTCCTTGCTGACATCAAAATGATTGTCTTTGTTCACATTTCCAGTGTTTGTTGCAGATCTGGGGATGGAGGGGTTCATTTACAGGATGCAAAACCAAAGGACAATTGTACCCTTCAGTGTTTTGAAGTTGGCAGCGTGGCATTAATGTAGATGCAACACAGACACAAGCTGCCCTTTAAAGGCACACACACACACGGACACCTTCAAACACAGTCTTGAGAACATACTTTTTCCATTTATAGCACTGAACGGGAATGTTTGGTGTCTTATTTTCTCTGACTCAGTCGTGTCTGAAGTCTTTCTGTGAGATTTTTGCCTCGTGGCATCGAGCCCACCGCCCCGCCAGGCTACTGGATGCTGCTGTTGATTTGAGGGAATATTTTGGCCCTCGTGATCTTGATGGAATGTTCTAACTTTGACACAGCAATGTCTCTCTCTGCCTCACTATTCCAAATATTCTAAGGCATTAGCATTGTGTGATGAGAAGACTGCCTTCTTCACTGTGTTCCAATGAGTGTCTGTGTCTTGTCCCTTGCGAGGGTGAGTGGGTGTCTAATGGAAAGCCCCCTTTCTATATCTCTTGGCTCAGGCCATGGAAAACCCATGCTGAGGAAACGGGGTCTTGGAGGTGGTCCAGTTTAATTTCAGAGCATGTGCACTGGGAAATAATTGACTTCCTCCGTGGTTTACATTTTGTCGAGGGCCTCGCAGAGCACAGTCCGAGGCAGGTGGCTGAATTTGCATATCATTGGAAACGAGACAGCTCAAGCCTGGGAAATCCTGCACCCCAAGACTCTATATGCCCGGAAAACCTCCGCAGGGGTAATGACTGATGTCTCAGTGAGAGAATCCCTTTGAGGCCAGAGGAGCTCCTCTTCAGCCAGGTGCAGCTGGAGGACACCTGATAATATAGAAATCAGTCCTGAGCAAGTTGCACTGTAACGTGAGAAATGCTCGTATACAGTAATTGGTTTCTCCAAACTTCCACATTAGAATTCACAGAGCTGCCATCCAGCAGTTGTCGGATGAGTTTATGGCTTCATGTGCAGGTGTCTCTTTGTGTTACCGTAATGTAATGATGCATTTTATGTTGCCACAGTGTAGAGAATGCAAATTGTGAGATATGCTGAAATGGATGAGACATTTATGTCTTTATTTAAAAGTGCACAGTTAAAGAAAATATATATGTGTGTGTGTGTGTGTGTGTGTGTGTGTGGGGTGGGTGACACACAGTGAAGATCACTGATTGTTGCAGTTACGTGGTGTGCCTTTGACTTCTCGGCTGACATGATGCCTCTTTCTTATATTAATATGCAATGTCCTATTTTCACTCTTCACAGAATCCTACTTTGGGGACAGCTACTGCAGTTTACAAGCCTTCCAAGATGTCTCCACCTTCCATCTGTCCCTACAGATCAAGACGAGTCGGCGAAGTGGGCTGCTGTTATTGGCTGCGGGAATGGAGGACTACCTGTTCCTTGAGCTGCAAAATGGCAAAGTACAGGTGAGTGGTTAACAAACTGTGGAGGAGGCTGAAATATTGTTTTGATACTGAAAGATGATATAGGTTGGCCAGTCCCAAAAATTGAAAATCTCTGCTGTCATGTTGTACAGCAGAGATTTGCTACACCAAAATGATCAGTGTTAGCAGTTACAGGAGCACATATCTAAAAGAAACCAGTGATGGTGCCTAAATTAAAGCTGTAGTCGGTGACTTTTTCACATTGGTTTAAACTGTCTCTATATTCACAAAACCACAGCACTAAATGAGACAGATAATCTTTAAAAAAACATATTCCTCTGCCTACTCTACTGCCTTGTATTGCTTTTAATGTCCTTTTGGAGTTTGAACAAAAACAACCATTAGAGCTGATGAGTCTCTGATTATTTCAATCACTGCTCATTTACTGCTGTCAACCTGTCAAACTAGGCAGCGCTGATCAAATATATCAAGATCTTGTTACTGCATTGCCTATTTCTTTCCGCAAATGTTTTCAGAAACTTATTATAGTGTACTGTTTAGCTATAAAATGAGAAAGTTGGTCCAACTGGTGGATGGTACTTGGTACTTTGGTGGACTATTTACAGTGGGTGCGGTTACATGACGGCTTCTCATTCTGAATGAAATAAATCTGAATAAAATCATTCTGAATTAAAGTTTTTCCAGGTTTGGGGCAGGGAAGGTTTCTGATTGGATAGGGGGCGGGGCGGATGTTACATGTTTACGTTTACCGGAAGGAAACACTGTAGTCCTCGCTCCGGATAACAAGTTGCTTGATGACAACGTTCTTAGTGCCTTTTTCGGGCGTGTTTTGCTTATATTCTTGAAGCAGCAGTACGACAACAACCTTGTTCTGCTAATGCTTCATCTGTTGAGGAGGAGAAGGGAGGTAGAAGGTCGAAGAAGGGAGATAGAAGACCGTGCTGTGGGCGAATGGAAACCGGTGAGTGCAACAAGTCCGACTGCTCTATCTCAGCCCGTTGCTATGCGCCAAATCGCACCAAAAGGGCAAGGAAACGAGCATGCGCAGAAAGAGCGGAATGAACTTAAAGAGGAATGAGTGTATACAAGTGCGAGAAATTCTTTCATTCAGAATTAGAAACGGAATATTCCAGCCCCTTACATCTGATTGAATTTTCAATCTCATTGGCCATTTTCATTCCGAATTAGGTGTTTACAAGATCACTTTTAATAGGAATGAACTTTCATTTCAAATGAAAAGGGAATTAAACTATCCATGTAAATGCACTCAATGTGGCACCCTGGTCACAAACGTTCTTATTTTACACCTAAACAGTACACTAAAATATGTTCCTGAAAACATTTGAGGTGAGAAATATGTAACGCAGTAATAGAAAATGAATTCATGTTTGCCTAGTTTGACAGTTTGACCACAGTTCATGAGCAGTGACTGATATGATTGACAACAGTGTTAGAGACTACTAGGCTCTGATTGGTTGTTAGTGAAGCAGCAGCAGTAGGAAGAAGAGGAGGGACATGATTTTTTGTTTTTCACAGACTATCTGTCTGTTGTACTTCTCTCAGAATAAAGTGACATTTTTTGTCATAGAAGTTACCTACTGTAGCTTTCATGTTAACTCAAAGACAGAGAAGGACTTAAAATTTACTCGAGTGAAAATAAAATCAAAGCTAAATAATCACTAAATTTGCTCATTTTAGAAGGTAAGACAATACACAAACAGATTCAGTGTTTACTTAATAAAAAGTGAGTCATTTTGCTTCTTATTCTCCTCCACAGAAGAAGCAAATATGCAGCGATTACCATAATAATATGGGTTAAATAAAACATACAATGTTAATTTACACACAGATGTAGCTCCACATGTTAAATTTTTAACTAGAGTGTTGAATATGTATTTAATTCAATGTCAAACCATCCCGGTGTTATAATTTCAGCTGGTTAATAACTTATTGATTGATTAATTCGCTACTATAATCCCAAAACATCACATATGAAATGACTTATGGGTGCGTTAGTTAGCTGCAGAATATCTCACACATTTGAGTGTGTTTTAAAGCTGTTTTAAAGATTGTGAGAAGTGTTGTTTGATAACCAGTGAGCATCGAGACACATATGACACATATCATATGTGCAGTAAGAAAACAACCTAAATTGATTTGATTGTTCTGTTGTCTTCTCTAGTTGTCTCACTGGAATGAGAACTGTCACTTTTTACATCTATTATTAATTGTCTGACGGCATTAAGAAGCAGCAGAATTAGCATCAGGAGTGCAGTCACAGAGATTCATATAGATTTTCCCCAGAAAGCACAATATCTCTGCATTTTCAGTGAGGTGAAATCTCAGGGTGTGTGTAATAAAAGGAGATACTATCTTTCTCAGTGTTCTTCATTCAGTTCCTCAGAGTGTTATGAGATCCTCTGAGCAAATACACTCAAGGCCTTATAAGAATTAAATAACCTTATCTGTCGTACACGTGTAAGAATCGTGAAAACGCAGATCTCTGATGTGATCAGTGAAACTTTTTGGAACTTGTTCATTTTTAAAATACAGCTCATTCAATACTGTGAGCATACCTGAGGAATTATCTTGGGTTGTAGATACACTGTCTTGATCGTAAATGTTAATACTACAATAAAATGAAGCTTAAACTCAAGTGTTTTATGAGTCAATGAATTAGACCCCCATAAATGGTAAGTAATAGATTCCAGAGAGGTCATGAACACAGATAAGGGTGTTTGGATTGGTATTTGTGCATTCAAGAGAGTTTCTTGTTCATAACTACTGACAGGACTGGACAAAGTTGTTGTAACTTGTAGTCTTTTATTTGTTTTAGTGAAGGAATTATCTTTAAACATTTGCCCTACATCCATGTGCTGCACATTTCTGATATGACGACCAATCAAGTACACCAGAATACCCCATATGCTACAAACTACATGTACAAAAGCTGGAAACCATTTTAAGTTAACACTTTATGGTACTCCACATTAATAAATGGTTAATTGATAGTAGGGCTGCCCCAGAATAGTCGTCATTTAGGGCCATTAGTCGACTAGTCGCCCGCATGTTTATGATATTAATTTAATTATTAAATGATATATTTTGGGCGGGGCAACACAATGGTTTGAGTTGAAGGTGTGAGAAAGAATAGTATCAGTAACATTGTTAACACTGTGCTACATTACAGAGAAATACAAAACCGTACTAATGAACCTTCATTAATATAGGCCTATATTTTATCTACAAGTGCACGTCACACACTGAGCGAGCCGCCTGTTAATGACGCTGTGGGCTAATGGGCATGTAGCTACTTCCATGTTTCAGATGATACGTCATGTTTGTAGTCGACCAATGAAGATGAGTTTACATATCACCTTGGGTTGGTCCCTCACCTTCTCAAAATGATCCCACACTTTGGATTTCCTGTCCGACATGTTATTAACTAGCCTGTGGAATAACCACAGGCACCAGCCCTGGAAATTAGAGGCCCTACATGCTGTGTCTTTAACCACCTGGAAGAGCGAGTTTGGGCGCTGGGCGCTGGGCGCTGGGCACTACTCCTGAGTGCAGGGCTGATCTTCTTCCAGGTGCTGTTTATAAGTGTGTAGGCCTATCGTCTGTGGGACAGATGTAAAGCTCTGGGTAGCCCTGCACTAACATGATCAACTTTTCCATATTTATCAGACTGAATATTTACAGAAGAAGGGAAAGATATCTGATTGGTTTATAACTTGACTGCTGAGCGCGGCCACTTCCTGTGTCCTGTCCTTTCAAATTAAATTCCCACATGGTCCAGACTATAGGTTTTGATTTATTTTGACAAGGCGCAGCTCCTGAGTTTCACTTTTTTTTCCCTGCAACTAATGAAATCTTGCGAACTAATGACCTTTCTGGTCGACTAACATTTGGTCAACCATTAAGGGGCAGTCCTAATTGATAGTTAATTAAATTTTAGTTCATAGTTTTTATACCTTTAAAAAGCAATGATTAGATACTTGACAATGTTTGCTAATAATTTTAATTTTACAGTACCATAACAGTTTATTGTTGTGCACATTATAACTTTCTATATACTGTATTACATATTTTCTTAATGATTTTCAAATGATTGGTAAACCTTTTAGAAATCATTCGTAAAACATCTTTAAACATTAAATAAATATATGATATTTGTAACACTTCATTAATGATTAATAATTGGTTTGTAGACTGTAGTCTGTTGCATGATTAAAATACCTCGTTAAAGGTGGAGTCTGTCGTTCTCAAGAAACAAAGTTGACTGTTGCATATCATTCACAAGTCGTCAAATACAGACACTTTTGTTTGGCAGTTTGGTCCATCTACCAACTTAAAGCATTTGACAACCTGGTAATGAGACCAATCCACTGTGTTTTTCCAAAATTGCAAAATGGTATATACATGCCTTTAAATGCATCTATAAGCATTGTTTGGGAGGAAGTTATAGAGTCGCAACTGTAGTTTTTAACACTTTACTGTTACTTTATAAATGGCTTTTAAAGTAAACATTCTTTGAATGGATATTACGAAGTTGCAACAGATCAACTGTGTGTCTAACGTAGCCCTACCCACACATTTTGAATATTGTATTGTTACTTTATTTTATAGTAAAGGTGTCATTGCTGAGTTTTTTTGATAGCTTTTTTGTAATCTCCCATTTTCTTGTCTCTTACTATCTGTTCATGAATGTGTTCAATACAATGATCTGATAGAGTGCTTTTATCGGTGCACAAATAATCACTGATTTATAGATCACCAATTAATGTTTTATGTTAAAAAATGTGTTACTATATTATACTTATTAATCATTAACAAATTATTAAAAGCATCGTCATAAACGTCATACAGCCTCTAAGATAATGTTTTTAGATGGTTTACAAACCATTACCAATTAGCATTTATTAATGATGGTTATTATAAAGTTTTACCAATATATTAATTAATATCTCCAAATGTGTAATGATAATTAAATTAAATGTTTTTGTCTTCCCTTAGGCACGGATGAACATGGGGGCTGGCGAGGTGGCACTAACCTCATCTCAAGGAGTTCAGCTGAACAATCTTCTGGACCACAAAGTCTCACTCACACTGCAAGATGGCAGACTCACCATGACAATTGATGAGCTCTTCCCGACGTACGTTCCTGTGGATGTCAACGGCGAACAGCTCAATATTGACCTGGGCATTTGGCTCGGAGGAACAGGAGAACTGGACACCTCCTACCTCAGCACTGCCATTCCCCCTTTCCGCGGCTGCATGACTCAGGTCAAATTTGAGTCCCACCAGTTTGATATTCTCAGCGCGGTGTTTAAACAATGCCACGACACAAAGGAAACCTGCAGCAGTGAGTTTGAGGCTGGTGACGGGGAGGCGACTAGTTTCAGCACTCCTGATTCCTTTGTGTCCTTCCCCACCTGGAGTGGGCCTAGTGGTGCTCCAAGGGTCTTAGAAGTCCTGATGAAAACCACCATTGAGGACGCGTTACTTGCTTTCCACCCTGGCCAAGAGACAGACTTCATCGCTATTGGTGTCGTGAAAGGCTTTCTCAAAGGTGTGGTGGACCTTGGCAGTGGCATGGAGGTGCTAGAGAATACCCAGGTGCAGCTGGATGATGATCAGTGGCACAGAGTTAAGGTTCAAGTCAGTCAGGATTCTTTTACCATCATGGTAGATAGCCAGTCTTCCTCTCTCCCTCTTGACCCATCTGAAAAATTGGACTTGGTTGGAAACTTGTATTTAGGAGGCATCCAGGGGAAAATGAAGGACGTGTTTCGCGACAGTGAGTCCTTGAGTCGTGCAGAGGAGGAAATGACAGCCGAATCCTTCATTGGTTGTTTAGGAGAGATCAAAGTAAATCAGAAGGACAGAAGCCTGCAGGATGCTTTGGTGACTAAAGATGTCCATGTTAAATGTGAAGGAGAGGACTATGACTACTCAACTTACTACGACACAGACGCAACAACTTCTCCACCCGTTCAATTCCCATATGATGATGTAGACGTCAGTGAACAGCATTGCTACCCAACAGATGACACGCCAGAGATTTTCAAAAATGTAACAAAACTCCTCGATGTTGCTCCATTGCTTGTGCCCGAAGTTGGGGAAGCTCTTCTTGATATCAACAACATGGACCCTACATTTGACCTCAGTGCTGCAGGAATACGTCAGTCTCAGATCATCTTTACCCTCCAGAATGATCCCTGGTATGGCTTGGTTGATATAAACACCAGCACAAGGCGCACACGAAAGTTCACTCTTCTTGATGTTGTCAATAAGAAAATCAAGTATATGCATGATGGAAATGAAAGGCATGCAGATCAAATCCAGCTGCAGGTGGTTGTACAAAGTGATGACAATCTTCCAGAATGTTTAACGACTCCTCAGGAGTATATTGTCCCAGTAGAAATCCTTCCCATCAATGACATACCACAACTTGGTGGAGGAGAACTCACCATCACAGAAAACGGCAGAACTCGTCTGAGTCCCAGCCTTATTAAAATCATGGATTCTGACAGTCGCTGCGATGATTTAGTAGTAACTGTAACCTTAGCACCTCCCATGGCAGTTGGTTACTTCGAAAACGGTCAGCAGCCTGGAAGAAGCATCTCAGAGTTCACTTGCAAGGAACTGAAAGATGGAAATATCTATTTCATACACAGAGCGGGTAGTGCTTCTGGAATTACCCTGGAGGTGTCAGATGGACAGTCAGTCAGCCATTCAACTTCTTTTAAGTTAGCTGTGACACAGCCTCATATGACTATGGTCACCAACACTGGACTTCTCTTGTCTCAAGGAAGCAACGGATCCATAGGTGTTCAAAGCCTGGCTGTCATCGCTCATCCTCGTAATGGAGATGTTGTGTACAACGTCACGCAGCCTTTGATGTATGGAGAACTACAGATAATGACACCTAATGGAATGTACAAGCAGGTTACAACTTTCCATCAATCCGATTTAGATCAAGCCCGCCTTAGATATGTTAGCACAGACTCGGCTGACCAGGAAGATGTTGTGAGCGAGAGGATTCAGTTCGACGTCCACCTGGGGCAGTTCTCCCTCCACAACCAAAACTTCTTGGTCAAAATCATCCCTGCGCAAGTAAAAATTTCTAACCTGGTCCCACTTGAGATGGAGGCCGGTGAAGAGCAAACGATCAGTGTAACAGAGCTTCAAGCCGAAGTAAAAGGGAAAAACCCAGATCCACAAACTGTAAGATACATCCTCGTCAAGCCTCCAACACTCGGTAGTCTCAAGTTGTCAGACAGGGAGTTGGCTGAGGGGGACACCTTCACACAGAAGGACATTTTGGACAGCACTGTTAGCTACAAAGTACGTGTGCAAAGAGCTGTGGATAGTATAGACCAGTTCCAGTTCAGGGTCCTTGCTGACGATCAGTACTCCCCTCTGTACACCTTCCCAATTACCATCCTCGCAAATGCAGACACTCCTGTTCTGACTAATGAGAAGCTGGTTGTCTTGCAGGGTGGTGAGCATGCTCTGAACAAATACTATCTTTGGATGCACTCCCCAAGCTCTACAGATTTTGTGTACAGGGTCACACAGGGGCCAAAGTACGGGCGACTGATCAGGGACTCCCCACCTGGGCAGCCTAGATTTGAGGGGGCAATAAGAATATTCAGCAATGAAGACCTCAAGTTTGAAAGGCTTATTTACAAACACGATGGCTCCAAGACGAGCAGTGATGAGTTCCGCTTTTCAGCATTTGATCAAGGAGGAGAAAGTTCAGGCACTGAGGAAGCAGTGAGCGGAGTTTTCCAAATAGCAATCCAATCTAAGAATGAGCATGCTCCTGTGAGGGTTGTGGATAAAGTCTTCAATGTAGTCCGCCATGGTCAGCGTCTGCTTACAACTGATGTCATTCAGTTTAAGGATGACGACTCCGGTTTCAATGACACCCAAATTGTCTACGCTCGTGAGGGAATCCTCTCAGGCAACATCGTCTCAACAGCTAATCCCTCACAGGCCCTTTTCCGTTTCACACAAGCCGACCTGCGAGATAAGAAAATCCTCTTCATCCACCACGGAGCGGACCGGGAGCGCTTCTCACTGCAGGTGTCAGATGGCTTCCACAAGACCACCGCGCTGCTTGACATCCAGGCAAGTGAGCCCTACCTGCGAGTCGTGAACAACACGATCATTGTCATCGACCATGGAAGCACCAAGACCCTCAACACCACCCTGCTGAGCGCTGACACCAACATGGACATCAGAGACGATAGTGGGATCAAGTTTCAGGTCACGTCGCCACCGAGCGATGGCAGGATTATTGTCAGTGGGATCGAGGCTTTAGAGTTCACCCAGGAGGATCTGAAAAAAGGCGTTGTGTCATATGAGCATAATTATGAGAGTCTGAGGTCCAAGGACTCCTTCAGCTTCACCGTCCAAGCAAGAGGACATTCAGAAGAGGGAACGTTCAGGATTAAGATATTCAAGCAAGGTTATTACTCTGAGCCGGAGGTGATCACCAATGAGGTCATCATTTCCTATGAGGGAGAGCACACCATAATCAACCAGGATAATCTCAAGGTAAGGTTTACTGAGTCATTACAGTATGTTGAGCAAAATCGATTTCATTTAATAACGAGATGAGTTATGTATGTGACATATAGAGTACTGGTTCCCAACATGGGGGTCCTGGCCCCCACTAGGAGTCACCAAAGCCTCACACAGGGTCCAGAGGCCTTCTTGATCTCAGGCAGCCCTGTCTCATAGAAATTATGTTGATACACAACTGATTTGAAACAGGGGAAATCTTAATGCTAAGTTAACTGCATTATCTTTTAACATAATGAGGAAATGCTGCGAATTACCGTATCGGGCAAGCCGCAAAAATGTTGATACTAAATGAAATGTTCATTGGCGAAATATTCTATTTGTTCTCAGCCAAAATAGGCAATCTTGCAAAACACTCTCTACTCGTAGTGACCACAGCATTATTGATTGATCATTAATGATTAACGAGACTGTTAGAAAATATTTTGGCACACTTACAGCGACGCAGTGTTTCACTTTATTGTTGAGCTTTCAGTCTAGTGGACTGCATGTATGCTCTGATGAAGGTGGAGTATACTTATTGATAATACTTATTGATGTTTCCAGCACTTTGCCAAGACCAAGCTGGGTGGAGCCGTGGTTGTTCTGCATTAATTAATGATTAAACAAAATCACAATCTTTCCCTTACCTCAACCAAAGTGTTTCTTTTGAATAACATAACCAGAGACAGATGTCTGGATGCAAACTCAGGGTTCTGGTGTCACAGTCCTGTATTTCGTATGTCCACCATTCACGACGTGGTACATTCAATTAGTTAATGTAGTATTTCAGTAACTCAAAGAAACGTTGTCTCTTAAAGGTACTATGCAGAATTGTTGGTTACTGTTTGTGAACATGCTCGCCAGCAAAAGTGTAATTAAAGTCAGCTCTGGTTTGGAGTATAGCCCAAAGGCTGAAAAATGAAGCCAATGTTGAAGTAACAAAAACTGCAGTTCATCGAATGACCACTTGAGTCTGGCTCCAAAACAGCTTCAAACCCTATAGACCACCATGATAAAATGCCCAAATTTACAGCAGAAATAAACTTATTTACAGCCTCGTACAAAACACAGTTTTGGTCTCTATACCTAATTACAATATTCATGACAACTGTACAGAGAGGGGAGTTTTTCATTTACTATTTACTATTTACTATTCATTTACTATTTTTAAGGGCCAAAGTTTTGCATATTTAAAGGCTGCTCTACCCTCTCAAATATGGTCACTTCTGTGTCTAAAAAAACATGATGGCGACGGTTGAAATGCCTAACTTAAGGCTCCAAAACAGCTGTCCACAAACCAATGGGTGACATCATGGTAGCTACATCCATTATTATCTACAGTCTACAGCCTTGGTGCTGTCTCTTGGATGCCTGCTGCTTACAGTCTAGCATCTGGTCGCTACCTTTTAATGAAGCCCTAGCCTCACTGTAGTGCAGTAGCCGTAGACGTCAATAAACATCCTGAACACAGAAAATAATAAGAAAATACAGGCAGAGAGCAGAGTCTTTGCAGAAAAATACACTGCCACACACTTCTAGTCGGTCATAGGCGATGATTGAGAGGGATTACTTCAGTATGAGTCTATTCATTGTTTTCAGGAAAATCTTGCTTAGTATATCTTTAACATAATCCAGGCAGCAAAAGTAATTATTAAAACAGTTTAGTAATTTACAAATACAATTTCTAGGAGACAGGGTTGTTTTAAGGGTGTAAAAAAAACGTATATGTTCATATACAGTAGACCTATATCTCAGCATTTCCTTAATTTATGTGAGGAAAACTAAATTAAATTCTTATTTTCAATGTTTAGATTATTATTCAAGATATTAAAATAAAAAAAATGTCACCGGATAAGGGCACATTGAGAACCTGAACAAAAAACTAAACTGCCTCACTATGCATTAGAAAAGTACCCAGTTAAAACAACCACAGAGCTAATAGAAGAATGGCCAAGCATCAGGGAGGAGAACAAAAATGAAGCCTATTTAGTGTGTATGATTATTTAAAAAAAAAAAAATAAAAAACATAATATAGACAGAATTGTATAGAAAGTTACTAAAAATATCAGAAAAACGTACCTGTGATGCAAAATTCAATCAATACAATCTACTCAAAATCGTCCAAATTGCTATTTTTACACAAACTTCCTGCAGTTATTGTTTTCACTGTTGGGGTCAGTTGCAGTGTTTCAGTACTGTTATTTTTAAACATTGAATATAAAATGAAATATCCATAAAATCTGTCGTCAGTTTACTTGATAATAAAAAATGGGGTCCCTTAAGGATAAAGTCTGGGAACCACTCATTCAGAGTTACAGTTCACAAATCTACAAATCTAAATCTGCTTTGCAGCAGACCCTTAATTTATAAAGCACACATTTGTTTTTACTCATCAAGACAGTATTTAGAATTTAAGCATCTTGGCGGGGATTATGTGACAGAATATTGTCTTTGTCTTTTTCAAGTTTATTTTCACTTTGTGAAATTGATCTTTCTCGTGACCCATTCGAGCATACTGCCCCGTTTTATAACCCCGTCTTTAATCTACATTATAACCACATGAAAGCAGGGCTAAATATGACTGTGCAGTTGCTGCTTTTAATCTAGTTTATGTACTAAATTACAGTCTATTAAGTGTGGAAAACAGAGCACTAAGTATCCCCCGAGGAGCTTCCTGAAGCCCACTGTAATTTATAAGATGAGCCTGCCTGCACTTCATCTTGAATGCAATTAATGAGGTTTAAATTGTCGGCCCATTCATAACACATTCTCTGTATATATATCTTGACTTGTAGAATAATGAGGGACAGTTCTGGAAATTAAATGTTCTTTCTTTTAAACTTTCATTTCACCATAGTATAGCAATATTGACTGGAGCAGAACCCAGACATCCAGTTCACATACTACTGAAATATGTATTGAACAAAGCCTTGGCAGAATGGCCTTTACAACAGGTAAAATATTGACTCAGCTTCTGGGAGCTTTTCCAATGTGTGTCCTTACTATGAAATGAAAAGTAGTACGATCTTCTGAAATATTCTCAAATGCAAGCTCGACTGCTAAACACTCCACGGCTTCAGGCTCCAGAGAGTTTATTAAATCTTCTCAGTGGGATGACCATAAATCTGCCTGTGTGTAAATCTGCAGCATGACTTTAAATGTTGCCAAATGTCACAAATGTCTTTTTCAAGTTTTTCTCCACCATACAGACACACTGTTCCAATTAGGTACTATATGCTTTACTCGTACCATTAGATATAAACTGTACTAAAGTTGAAGTGCCCTATTTTAGCAGTTAATACATAACAAATTAATGTAGTGTACTGACATTAACTCACAATACTGTTTCTGTGCTAAAATGAAATAAGAAAAGGAATCCAGTTCCAGATGTCTAATATAACTCCAACTCTGAAACACTGCTGCCAATTTCACATGAATGCTTTTTTCTTAAAGTTTTATTAGTTTATTTGATTTGTTTTGCCAACTGTCATTGGGGCAGTTGCACAACCTTCTGCTATTTTTGTCAGCTGTGAGTGGTTCCTTTATTTCCATGGTTGAGGACAACAGCATCTATCATCACCACATTTTAAAAGTCATGCCATTTTTCTGTGTGTGCTGCCTTTTGAGGTTTAATAAGTTACAAGGTGAAGTAATTTAACACAGCCCAGTCGTCAGAAGAAAATGCTGGCATTGTACTCTTGTGCAAAGCATGAATATTTGTTTATGTTTATTTGTTTATTTGTTTCGTACGTAACATATCAACTTTTCTGCACTGACATAGTTCAGTTACATGTATATGAGCTGACTTTGTCATCATAGGGTGGAGGGGATGGCATGAAACTGAGATGGCTGCCAAGCAGCAGCCCACTGACCAACAAACTGCACTAGGTGTTTTAGACTAGGTGTTTTTGGTGAGAGATTTTGGCATTTCCAGCTGCGATTGTGGCACCAAACCCAGGTGTTTTTTAGCGAGACATCGGCTGCATTTTTAGTGATTGTGGCACCAAAGCCGCATGTTTTCCAGCTGCACATTGTGGCATTTTCTGCTGCTATCATAGCAAAAACACAAACAAAAAATGGGTGTTTTTGGTAAGACATTGTTGGAGATTTCTGTTTTAGAGCCAACCTCAAATACCAGGTGTTCTTTAGCGAGACATTGCCTGCATTTTTTGTGGTAATTGTGGCACTAACACCAACTGTTTTAAGCTAGACATTATGGCATTTCCAGCTGCAATTGTGACACTAAAACTGGGTGGGTTTTTTAGCAGGATATTAGCTGCATTTTCAGTAGTAATTGTGGCACTACAATGTGTGTTTTTTAAGTAAGACATTGGCTGCATTGTTAGTGATAATTGTGGCACCAAATTCAGGTGATTCATGGCATTTTCAGCTGCCATTTTGGAAAAAAAACAGACAAATTAGTGGGGGTTTTTTGGTAAGACATTGGTGGCATTTCCAGCTACAGTTGTGGCACTAAAACCGAGACATTAGTAGCATTTTCAGTAGTGATTGTGGCACTAACATGCGTGTTTTTTTAGCAAACCATTGGCTGCATTTCCAGCTTTAATTGTGGTACCAAAGCCAGGTGTTTTCATCATGACATGCTCAGCTGCTATTTTGGCAAAACAATGGGTGTTTTTTTGGTAAGATAATGGTAGCATTTCCAGCTGCAACTGTGGCACTAAAACCAAGACATTAGCGGCATTTTCAGTGGTGATTGTGGCACTAAAATCAGGTGTTTTTCAGCAAGACATTGTCGACTTTTTTAGTGGTGACTGTTGCACTAAAACCTGGTGTTTTTTAGCGAGATACTGGCAGAATTTTTAGTGATGATTTTGGCACCAAAACCAGGGGTTTTCCAGCTAGACATCATGGCATGTTCAGCTGCTATTTTGGCAAGACAATGGGTGTTTTTTCTTTGGTAAGACAATTGTGGCATTTCCAGCAGTGGTTGTGGCAACAAAGCAGGGTATTGTAAGCTAAAATACAATCTTTTTCTTAAACGTATCTGCTACATCTGAACCATACAAATGTTACATATCTGTGGTTTGCAGAATGTGCAATGCCAACGTTTATTGTGGCAATAAGGTTGTTTCACTACACACACAAAACACATTAAAATGATCATTCTACAAAAACAACATAATAAAGGCATTAAGATGTTGAATCATAAATTTAAAGTGTGTATCTTTGCCTTTCAGGTGGACCAAGCTGATATTGTGCCTACAGAAATGGTGTTCACCATTAAAGCACCTCCTCGTCTCGGTCATGTGGTCAAGCTGACAAACAGCTCGGACAGCACGGCCTCTCCTGTCCTCGACTACATTCACTCCTTCACTCAAGAGGACATTGATCAGGGGCGCATTCTCTACGTGTCTGCATCCATCCAGGTTCAGTGTTCATTTATTTTGTTGTAGTAAATCAGATGTGGCAGCTCTTTCATATTCACGCCGAAAGTAAAATCAGACAAAAGACAACCTCAGCCTCTGATGAGTCCGAGGTACAAGGTCTATTTTTATTATTTAAATAACATATTTGAACATCCATCTCTTTCAGGGCAATGACGCCTTCACAGTGGATGTCAGTAATGGTTTCACTACAGTGGAGGACCTGCACGTCTCTGTGAACATCGTGCCCCGCCTCATCCCCCTCCAGACCTTTAATTTCACAGTGAAGGAAGGCCTCAGCAAGGCGATTAACGCAGAGATCGTTAACATCACACATCCCTTCTACAGCTCAGCAAACATTGACTTTGTTGTGGAGGAGCCGCCGCAGCATGGGGACCTCCGTTACCTAGATGGAGACGAGGTCACCTACTTTACATGGGAAGAGGTACGTAATTATATGATGACAGAAATATTGAATAAAATGTCTTAAGATCTCGTCAGCTATGTTCGTCATACATCTACGGCCTGGCGCATTTTCCTAAGATTTGCCGAATCTCAATAGCAATGGTTAGTCTTGAATCTGCCTCATGAGGCCAGCTATTGATTCCAAATCCAAAAAAGAAAATGTCTCAGAGGAAATTAGAGAATTTCATAGTTAGTGGACATATTTGTTTGCGTTCACTACTAACGCTGCAAAGTTTAAGTATCAAATAATCATTAGTAGCCCACTGCAGAGTGGCTGCTTTGTTGTAAAACATATTAATGAATGCTCAGTTAGACCTATTAGGAATGTTTATAGGCTGATTCAGATTAAATAGGCTGTGCTGCCGTCACTATAAGGCACAAATATTTATTGTGGCTCCAATTTTTTGGGCAAAAAATGGCTCTTTTGAAAGTAAAGGTTGCTGACTCCTGTTCTAAGTTAATGAAAGCACAACAATTCCTTAAACAGCAAAGAAATACAACCATACAATTATACAACACTCTTTCAAGGAGAAATGAGAAGAATAAATATATATATCAATATTTAATAAAGTAATAAAAATACATATTAAGAATATTAAAACATATATGTTTAGTTATGAATATTATATACAATTTCTGACCATAGATGCCTCTAAATCCTGCACACTGGACCTTTAAAACCTTAATAATTGTGTTTTACCATTTGGTTTCTCTTGCTGTTTTCAAAATTCTGACATTTGTTTTGCCTTCTTTATTGGGAGAATATTGTAAAATAAAACTTGCCTACTTTTTATTCACCATGTGGCTGGTTTCACTAAATTGTTAGCATATGTGTACCGCATGTGTTTCCAAACCCACCAAAACCCTGCATCCTCTAACTAACATCTGAGAGATTTAGTAGATTGGATTAATCATTTCTTCAAAGCACCTGAATTTCATGTGGACAGAAATTATATTTATATTTTTGTCAGTCCCAGACCAAAAACTTCCCAGAAGACCCCGCAAAAAAATCCAATAATCCATATTTCATCCAGTTTTAATAACTCCAGGGAGTTTAACATCTTCCTCTCACGAGTAGATCACAGTGGCTGTTCATGAGGATTACCACAGTGAGGCATCGCCATGAAACTTTCCCCGGTTACTTCTCAGCGCTGTTTTGGATTTGTTGTGTTGTACCAGAGAGAGAGGGGAGGGAGAGTCTGCGAGCTGCTGGTGCTGCAGCACAGTTATCTGGTCTCTCTCCATGCGGTTCAGAGGCCTCAGCTTTAGGAAAATATTAAAAATGCATGAGTAGTTACTGGTGAAAAAAAAGCAAACCTCATGCATTCTGAATGGACCACATAGTTTACTGGAGCAAGTTAGACACATATCTTATAGCTCCTACATCTAGCCCCAGTCTGCCTCTGCTCCTCTTGACTTTGCTGAAGCATTGTGGAAAAACTGACGATGCCTTTGGACCGCCTGGAGCCAAAATAAACTGGCCCAGTATATTCCTATAATAATGTGTGAGTGCACACAAGCGTCCCGCGCTTTGCTACTGCCAGACTCACTCATACTGCTTCTGAAAGATCCCAATGTGAGACTCCAATGGGTCTGCTGCGTAGCAACGATTACGTTGGTAGCGAGGAGTCAAAAATGAACATGGATATCATCATGTGCCGCCATGGAAATGTCACAGAGAAGCTTTTCTTTTTACTGCTTTTTTATGTGAGCTGTGTGTGTGCACGTTTTCTGTTTTCTTTTACTGTAAGAGAATGAAACAGAGTCCTAAATGAGGACCACATTGAAGAATGTCCAAGCCTCAGTTGACGCAGCATTTAAACCAGACTGTAATTGTTTTAAAATTAAAGTGGGTTGTGTGTGTACTCCTCTTTTTTTCCCCTAATGCTGTTTTAAGCTTGGGAATGGACACTGGGCTTCCTGGTGTGTCGTAATTTGGCGCTAAAGCCATCACTGGAGGTGGTTCTTTGGGGTTATGTAAGTGCACAGTGACACCGGGGGCGTGCAGTGAGAAAAACTGAGAGTGTGCACATGAACACCAGGAGATCTACATGAACACCAACCACAAGAATGTAAAGTTACTTTATGTGCCATGTGGCCCAGATGTGTCACATATAAGCAAAGAATCTGTGTCATACAACATAAGGCTTTTTTGTTAACCACAGCGCTGACTGATTTACTCCGGCTTTGAACACAGTAGTCATGAACACATTCAGTAACATGTGAGATGCTGAGCAGGATCCAGCTTGAGTAAACGGAAATCTGAAACACTTTGCTCCGATACACCTTTGCTTTAATCAGGTTCAGTTCCTCCATCGGGTCCCAATTAGGTCCTCCATCTGTGGAAACCTATTAAAGTCCACACTGGCATCTTTATTTTTTTTACACAGTACAAAATGTTTTCGGAACAAAGCGAGCAAGCTTCTACAGTTTATACTACTAATTTTCCAAAATACAGCAGGCGCACAGAACCTGAGGTTTCACATCAATCAAATCTGAAAATAAAATAAATTAGTATCAAACACTGACGCTCGGTCTTTAAGGTAAATCTGAAAGCCACGTTTCCAACAACCACCCGGTGTTTATTGTCCCAGCGAGCAGACTGATTGTCTCGCTGACTTTCCCTGATCAGTAATGATGATGGGGGTTGTTATTCCAGAAGGATGCCCGTCATATGGGATCCATTTGGCACTTCCTGCTCTCTGAAGCAGGTCCACTCCTCACAGCTGCTTGTGGCTTTCGTCAAGACGAAGTTCCAACACTTGTTTCTGAAGAAAAGGATCCTAAGTCTTTGTCAATTCTAAGTATCAAAGTGAAATGTTGGGTAATAGGCAGATTATTTGATCCAGATAGGACTACAGGACTGAGAAACGCTGGGTGCTGAGATCCCTCCTCTGAATGCAGAAAGTCAACAGAGTTGGCTTGGCTCGGCCGCAGGTGCTGTTTTTTCACTTGACACTGGATGACTGATTCCTTTGTTCATCTGGTTTCCCTCAAGGTTTCGTCCCACAGGGGAGATTCTCCTTGTTCATGTGCTGCTGCCAGACTTTAAGACCTGATTATAGCCTTTATCTCAAACCATTGAAAACATATATTATCTGTATACAACAACAAAAGATATACAGTACAGAAATCTCCTAAAACAAAATAAAGGCTTACAGGCATAGTTCAGATCCCCAGAAGGTATTTACCCACAGTAAATGTATTACAAACAGTAGACATTGGTCGGCATGCCCCAGTTTGGAGAAGCAGACAGGTGTACTGCCACAGAAGCTCAGCAGTGTACAGCTGTGGACGTGGGCAGCAACAAAACATATTTCAGCCACCGAGACAAAATCAATATCGGTTTAAGTGTATGCTATGTTTAAAGCATTTCCACCTTTATATGATGACACAGACAGTGGGAAAGGCTTAATTGGCTTCAGTTCCCTATCTATGCTTTCGTCAAAGCCACCAGACTGCATGAAGAAAAACAGTAATTTTAGCTGATTGAACACAGGAGCTGCTGGTCTACAGCCGCCACAATCAGTTTGTTTGTTTGTGTTATAGTGTGACTTTGGAAAATCTGAATGAACCCTTTTAAATGCCAAAGTCACACAATAACAAACACAACATAACTGATCAAGGCAGCAGGAGAGCAACAGCTCCTTTGTTTAGCTGTGTTAAATCAGCGTTTTTCTCATGGAGTCTGGCTTGAAGAGAGCAATATAACGGTAACAGTTCCCAGATGAGAATTGCTGTCTGACAGTGAAAATATTGTAAATATAGTGTATATATACATATACATACATATATATATATATATATATATATAAGGTCTTTTGATAATCGTAGTGACATTATACCAGCTTTCATCACAGTTTCATTGTCCAGATCACTCAAACTGTAATATAAGGAGAGAGATAAGAAATATAAATACTTGTTTTACTCAAGCTTTTCTGCCTCTGTTTCAAAATAAAAGCACTCTGACAATGTTTCCGAGGACAGAATCCCTTCATTTGTTAATACAAGGTTTTTTATCATAAAATATTTACATGACTGTGTTGTTGACTATGTTTCAGCTTGCATGGCTCCATTAATGAATGGCGTGTCGGCTTTTAACTGTGGAAATACAGTAGATACAGCAGCAACACTGTCTGTGTGAACATGGCAAGTGTGTAGGCTGCAGCAGTTTAGTGAGGCAGACGTCACATGCTATGAATAAGCACCTCATACAACCCCACTTTAAAAACATCCTAACAATCCCTTTAAAGCAATAGTTTGACAGTTTGGGAGATACACTTATTCGCTTTATCTCCAAAGATGAGAGGATTAATATCATGCTTTAATTTTTTGTTGAATATGAGGCTATAGACCATTAAGCTGGGCTTAACACAAAGACCAGAAGGTGGGTGAAACAACTGACCTGACTCTGTCCACAAACATCCGAAACGAAAGTACCAGCAGCTCTAAACACGTTATATCTTGTTTGTTTAATCCATACAAGAAACTTTGCAACAAAAGAGCGGTAAATATGCTAAGCTTAGCTAACTTTCATTTAAACTAAGGAAAGAAAACAAAAAAGCATGTTTTTTTTAAAATGTCAAACAATAAAACCCAATGTATACCCTCCTTTTAAAACCAAAGTTTTGAGTGTGCATTGTAAAAAACTTTGTATTGTCTCCTGCAAACTTGCACTCACTATAGATACATGCTCGCATTATTTATGATTATATTCTGTAATGCTGTGTTACTCTAGATCAAATTTATGTTTAGAACAACTAATGAGACACGATCCATCCTACTGTATTCTTAGAAAAAAGGTATAGTGCAATAAATAAATAAATAAATAAAAAGTATATAAAAGTCCTGGGTTTGTTCTCCAGCTCTAGTTATTGCACACTGAGGGAGGGGGATAAAAGCAGTATTATTTGATTGCACCACAGCCCAGAGGAGGAAACTGTTTTTCATCGTCCAAACTGCAGAGTTCCTGCATCTCCTTCCAGACAACAAGAGGTTGAACAAGTGGTGCTGGGGTGGGATGGATCTGTAATGATGTTGTGAGCCCGCCGCAGGCATCATGAGTTGCAGATTGAGTCTAAGTCCTGTAGATGGGCCTCACTGATGTCCTGTGCTGTGTTCACTGTTGGCTGGAGAGCTTTTAGTCGGCCTGACAGTTGGCATAACATGCTGTTATGCAGTGCTTCCGAATGCTCTTAATAGTTCTGCAATTTCTCAAGCAGTTTTGGGGGTGGACTAGTTGTCGATATTATCCTCAGATAGTAGAGGTGCTGAAGTGAGAGTGGTCCAGCTGAGCTCCTCTCTCTGTTATGGGCACTCCCAAAAACTCGAAACGTGACCAGTTCCGCTGCATCTCCATTTATTAGGCATGGGGCATGCTCAGTATTATTTGATTTCCTGTAGTTACACAACAGTTTCCTGATGTTACACAACAGGAAAACAGCCTCTGCTGTCAGTGAATATCATCTTATTTGCAAATAGGCTGATGGCAGTCAACAAAGCGTGTTGAGCCGATAGATCAGTGCACGCCTACTAAAATTCAATTACAGGTGTGCACATAAAGCCCCAGGAGGTGTAGTTTGGTAACCTCCTTATTTAGAAGTAGGCCTACTGTGTTCAAGGCTGTACTATAGTCAATAAACAGCATCCTAGCATGTCTCACTGTTTAAAAGTCTTTCCTATAAAGATCAAGCAAGTTAGCAGTTTGAGTGAACCAACTTTTGTTCTAAAGAGAAATACTTATGTGCTGTGTAAGGAGATGATAGGTGGTAGAAAGGAATATAAATTGGTACTTGAGTGACTCACTGCTTTCCATAAAGTTGATGGGCTCACAGGAGACAGATTTATAAAACATTGGTGGAAGCTGAAGCAGCCGAGGCCAAGATCTTCTGACTTTTAGTCCCCAATGTGGGTTGAGATCCAAACTCTTGATCCTAGGGTTCCCAACAGCATATTTTTGTTCGATACATCCCATCTAGTAAATACCCACATGTTTGAACACCACTTTGCCAAGTGGCCAAAGCTGAGATAATTAGATCCCCCAGAGCCACAGAAATCATTATACATTACACCCCAAATGATTAGCAAGCTGACTATTATGAGTAAAATTATTGGTGTTCCAAGTATCACGGGAGGCAAAGCCATCTAAAAAGATCATATGCACCAAAATGTTTGATTCAAATTAAAGTCCCCCTCCACTCAAAAATGTGTTTTTCTTCTGTTCTGACTATACTGACTTGTGTCTGTGTAAAGGTTGTCACTAGAGAGGTGTTTTCACATTCTTCTATAAAAGCGGTGATGTCTGTGCACTCCTGTAAAATCTGAGATATAAATGTACGCTGGGAAGCTAGATTAGGTACGTCACTTAAAGGATAACTTCGGTATTTTTCATCCTGGGCCCTATCTCCCCATGTGTATGTGTACGTACGATTCATATGTACAACTCGTTCTAAAACTGGTTCAGTATTGAGGGAGGCGGATGCAGCCGGGAGCCGAGAAACGAGCTAAAACGGTAACGGGGGCAAATGCGTCCCGTATAAGTTTGCACATTACAAGTGCTTTTTTTCACCACTGACCGGTTCAGATCAGCAGTGCTATCTCTGTAAATAGCATACTAAGCGTTTCCCTTACCTCTGGGCTGTGTGACGTCATCTCGCAAGAGCTTTGCTCCACTGTGTCTGTAGCTCTCTCTACTCGTGGGGCAGCCATTTTCTTGAGGAAGAGGTGTTTCAGGATTGTCTTCTCTTCTTTGGCTGGCAGTAGTCATCTTGGGAGAAGTGAGCACTGCAGACCCGATGGTCTGCAAGGTGCAGTGTCTGGACAGGAGTGTTAGCATCCATTTGTAGCACAACTAGCCACAACTTCAGCATCTCGCCGTCCGACAAAAGCAGCCTATGAAAGCTGTACGGGGTGTTGCGCAACATCCTGTTCTTACAATTCGGATAAGCACAAACACGAACCATTGTTTTCAATCAGTGCAGTAAAACTCTCGACTGTACTCCGGGACAACCAGAGCCACTCTGAGCGGCGCTCAGCATGGCTCCTCTGTTTTCTTCCGGCAACAAGCAAAGCTCTCACGAGATGACGTCACACAGCCCAGAGGTAAGGGAAACGCTTAGTATGCTATCTACAGAGACAGCACTGGCGATCTGAACCGGTCAGTGGCGAAAAAAAGCACTTTTAATGTGCAAACTTATACAGGACGCATTTGCCCCCGTTACCGTTTTAGCTCGTTTCGCGGCTCCCGGCTGCATCCCTCCCTCAGTGAATGAACCAATTTTAGAACGATTTGTACCTATGAATCATACACACACATACACATGAGGAAATAGGGCCCAGGTTGAAAAATACTGAAGTTATCCTTTAAACAAAAGCCAATCACTGTCTGATACGGGAAACACATACTATACGTGGGAACTGACTTCAGCACCAGCAAAGAAACCTGAAACCCCCAGCACAGAGTGGACTTGTCAGTGCAGAGTTTTGCGAGTAAACCAGGGCCCCAGGAACACTGCTCAGCCTAGCAGCCAATTTTTCCTAGTAGCCACTCGTGGTATTGCAGCACAAAAGTTCTTTCAATAGGCCACCATTATAACAGAGACGTCTGTAAAACTGTTGACAGGACACCTTGAACTGCAAGGTCGATTATGACTCTTTCTATTTTAAATTTGTGATCCATGGCAGTTCGAAATTTGTTAAACTTTCCTGGAGCCAAGAAAGGCCATTTAAACATTAGTGACATTATCCCAATGTTAAGTCTATGAGCTGAGTGGAAACTTGCGGGCAGGGCCAGCAGGAGAAACACTACTGCACATATTCAGTAGGCTGCATGCCATGGAAGTAAATCCAGAAGTTAGAAACTTTTTGGCGTATGTGCTAGGCGAGAAACTCTATCCTTCTGAGACCCTGTGTCCTCATACAAGGACATTATATTTTGTGTTTACTGGACCTTATACTTCATTCTGCTTAACTTAGGCCTCTTGTCCTCATTTGTGGACACTTCTTTGTGCCATCTAGTGGTAGTAAGAGCACAATGCATTAATCCATGTAAAAACAAGATGGCAGCCATCTCTGCCAAGTCGGTCTGCAGCTGATACCAACACAAAAATGGACAAGATCCAAAAGCTGATCACATTTTATGGTTGAAACTTATTTATCTCTGATTAATAACATTTGTAGTTTGATATGGCAACAAATTTGACCAATTTTAGCAACAGCAACAAGCTACGACACTGTTGATTTGGAATGACTTGTTTGAAGACATAAGGAATTTATCATCAGCTTGTTGAAAGACATTGGGACTTTATTGTCGTCTCGCTTGAGGACATCGGGACTTAATTATCGTTGACAATGTTTAGTTTTTTATACTTACTTTATACTTTATACTTACTCCTACTTACTTACTCCTACTGATCCCATATAGCAAGGAGAAAATAATTACGCCAACCAAACAAAAGTTCGGGTCTCAGGAGGCTGTTGAAATGAATAGGCGCCATCTTGGGATCTAGTATGTAGGTATTATCATAAATCTGTGCAGTAAACATAAGTGTGCAGTTTTTGGATGTAAACCGGACCCTGGACCTTCCTTCTACTGTCTACCAAAAACCCCACTGTAGCAGATAGTGCATGTTCCACAAACACTAACACTTGTGTCAGCAAATGCAAGTTAGCGTACAAGCTAACAAGTTAACAAATAGAAGATGCTAACTACACTTAGCATTTTGATACGTCTGCTAGTCGTTAAATTTGGTGCACACACACAGCAGATTCCTCAACTGGTTCTGCGTCTGACCGAGGCTCAAACATGTATGACTGACGCTCTCTGATGTTTCCTCTAATGCTAACATTAGTCATCTTGATACGCACTGCTCTTCGACCGGTCACCCTAGTGCAAGAAGTGCTGGAGAAGGCAGAAGGTGAAACTTATGCAAGCAAATTTCTCATTGAGGGTGTAAGATTAGATCTGCTTCCAACCCATTTTCAGAGTCTTTTTTTTTAAACTATAATGGTGGACAAAACATGTTAAACACAATATCTGTAACAATACAAGTATCTTTATATAATTGAAAACATGCCTGAAGAGGGACTTAAAGAATGTGAGATGGAAACAGTGTCAGTTCTCAGTGGAGTTTGTCCAGGTTAACCAGGATATGATGTCTTTGTGTTGTGTTAAAAGCAGTGTTCTTTGGATATGGGCGTTCAGAGACACAGTCACATTGTAAAATTTTATTCCACCTTTCAGACCCACCCAGGCTCTGACTATTTTATGATGTTTCCTACCATTCACGTTTGATTCAGAATTGAGTGACAACTGGATCCTTTTTGTCTTCCCCAGATGAAACTTGGACACATCTACTACATGCATGACAGCACCGAGAGCACAGAGGACAGTTTTACACTCTCTGCCTCGGCTTATGAGATTGAGCGCCGGAGCCTCCCTGTCACTATCTCAGTGACTGTCATACCAGTCAACGATGAGCCGCCAAAACTGACACGTAACACGGGACTGGAGGTAATGTTTTGCTCTTTGAAAGTGCTTTTGCTGTTACTTTGAGCTTTCCCTCCGACACACTCGACGGTGAACTGCTGTTGCTGTAGGAAAATCTTTTTATACCTGTAAAAAGTAAACTTTCGGTTTTGTTGGATACTTTTTTCCTTTAGCACATTTCAGCTGATGAGAATTCAGGCTGACCACAAGCGTCACTGTGTGTGAAAGAGGAAAGAACACATTTTTTATTGCAACCTTTCAAAACAAGGGAGTATTTTATGCTAAAAAAGACGCAACTGTGGAGAAAATAACTCACTCCCCTCCAGGTTTATGTCAGTTTCAAGGTTCATTTGATTTCATGTTACTTTTGTGGATATATTTGCTTTCCTGCAGCGTGCTGGAATAACAACCAGTCCAACTTGTGTGTGATTGACAGACTGTTGGTATTCCCACCTGCACCAGACTTTGCATGATTGGTCTGATGCTAGAGCCACACCAAATATGAAAGAGCGTCAGATAAATGGCTTTATAATGGTTGATGAGATTCTGACATGTTGAAAAGGGTTCATTTTTCATAAAAACTATCTTGTAGTGCTTTACGCTTTACTGCGTTACGCTTCATCTTGGTTTTGATTGATTCTCAGACAGAATAGTGTGTGAATTTAGTGTTTAACTGCTAATTTAGCAGTCCCGAGACATACTCAAAAGGCCTTGTGTTGTAAGAAAGATTTTCCATTAGCGGTTCAAGCTGATATAAAATCTCAGTTTTAAGAATTAATAAACTCTGAACTCTGAGTGAACTTTCTCACATCTATACTGTATAGCTTCGGCTGCAGATACGGTCCTCCGTCATGAATCCTATATGAAGTGAGAATTAAATTCACTTCACGCTGTAAGTACAATAAATGCAGTGAATTTTTACTGAGCCACTGAAGGATACTGACCTTACAGGCGATGACGCACGCTGCAACAGTACAGCAGTGGCCTCCGCAGCATATTTGTTTTCATAAAGAGCTATAAAATGGAAGGGAGTTAGCATATTCTCAGCTTGACTTCTCCAAAAATTTTGCAAATGAATCATGTAAGCTGAATGAGTATAAGAGGGCGGTGATTCACTTACTGTGTGCACTCAGCGCAGTGTCAAGCAGAATACCAGTTACTGTATGTACAGTATCTGTATGCATTTTAATGCACTCGCAAATTTGCTGATATTTCAGTTTCCACAGAGGGAACATGGGAACATGCTATTATTATCTCAGTGTCTATAATAATCCCTGTTTCTTAAAGATATCCGCTGCAGTATATGCAAAATTCCACATTAAATAGTTAACTTTTATAAAATGATGATGGTTTAAAACACAAAATACATTTAATTTGGTCTCTAATAGACTTTAGTTCATATTTTCTGATTCATATACAATAGAACAATTCATCATTCAAAGATGAGATTATTAAAGATTATAAAAGAGATTTAAAGATTATTTTTTGGCCATTTTCCCTTTTTTTATTGATAGTACAGCTTAAGATAGACTGTGCAGCTGTAAAGGCCTCAGCCCATATGGGGCGCACACTACCTGGTGAGCTTGAGGTCACCCCAACTGTTGCCCATCTCTGGCTATTATAATCATGTAAAACACATTTATTCATTTAAACAGCTTTTAACTGTTTACATTCTGTGCCATCAGACTAATGAAGGTTAGGCTGTGATCAGGTGCCAAGGAAAATCAAACTGGACCCTATTTCCCCATGTTATGTGTCTTGGTGACCAATGGGAACCACCATCTTTCAGTATGGTCTAGTTTTGAGCGCAAGCGCTGTAGACAGTAGCAGCTATAAAGGCTGCAATGTAAACACCCGTTTGTGCAGTTTATGTCCCTACAGAAACAGACCTTTTTGGTAAAGAGTAAGATCCTTTTAGTTTAACCAGAAACAGCCTAGAAATCACTTTCGCCAAACTCACCAGACTCCATTTAAATAAACATTAATTTTATCACAGTAAAACATGCTTCTTTCAGAGTCAACAGAATCAAAATAAAACTCACAAAAAACGTCTTTGTTTGTCTTTCCACTGTTCCACTGCACAATCACCAACTCTAGTTTGGTTAAATAAACCCTTAATTCACCCAGTTAGGTGTGAAAATATGCTGCCTCTATACATGCTAAAATTGCTGTTTATTTTAATGGAGTCTGGTGGGTTTGGCGATGGCAATTTCAAGGCTGTTTCTGGTTAAAGAAAAAGGATGTTACTCTGTTCTCCTTTCCATAATTTTGCCAGACACATAATAATCTGAGGGGCCGTACACATGCCGTGTTTTTAACTGCCTGCAAAATGCAAGTTTGTGCACTGGGTGCTACTCTTGTGCCTTTTCTGTGCCAGATTTCAAAATCGTGGCAGGTTGCGTCTGAGGTCGCTAAGCAACCTCAAAAGCTCTGGCAGCTCTGCACTAACATGATCAACTTCCTCTCCATATTTATCACAGACTGATATTTACGGAAGAACGGAAAGATACCTGTCGGCTGTGATTGGTTGGTCGTCGTGACATGATATGCGGTGCGCGGTGCTGTGTTTCAAGAGTTGAACTCAGTTTATCACAGGGCGCAGCTGTTGAAAAATAGGCACTCGGGAATCCGCAGCGACATCACTCTGGTGTTTGAGTGTGTGTGCCTTGCATCTACATTAAAAACAATGAATTCGAGGGTGCAAAAATTGCAGCATGTCTACAGGGCCTGAGCCTGTTGGTGGTAAAAACATGCACTTAGATGTGAATTGACAGTGTGAACACTCAATATTGGACCAGTTTCCAAAATGGTTGTTCCTATTAGTCACGTAGATACAAAAACCCCATTAACAAGAAGATACACCCACAGACATGATGTAAACATAGCTGCACTCTCTCTAATGTGTAGTGTCTTTCTGGTGAGTCCCACTGCACTGTTACTATATTGTGGATAAACCTCACTCTATCACCAAATAACTTCATCACAGTAATTACTGTTTGGTGTAAAGAAGAGACGTGTTTATTCAACAGTATATTTATTTAATTGAATCTGCAGTAGGTTCAGAGAGTGTTTGCGACATGCTGATTTACATCAGCCATGAAAGAAAAGTTTTGGGGGATCAATGAAGTAGAGAGTACTGTAAGAGCAGGCAGGCAGTTGGAAAAAGCCAGCAGTAATCAGCTCACAGAACTGGAAACCAACTGTGTCATTCAGCCCTCCCTGCTCTGCCTGCGGCTCCGCGTCTCCCTGGCAACCCGTATTTTTGGAAAACCAAGATGGTCGACGATACCACGGCTTTCTGGCAGAGTGAGGGCGGCATCCAGTCCCTGTGCCTCCTCTGCTGCGGCTGCAGAATGTAACATAATGATATGTGGACGTCTCCCCACACTGAGCCAGGGCTGGCCCGGCAGCGGCACTTGGATTGATTTAAAGTAGGAAGTGTGTGTGTGTGAGTGTGTGTGAGAGTGGAGTGACCTCTGCAGCAGATGATCAGACATGATGATGAACACGGCAGCGATCACGCTCTGTTCAGGCTCACCATTGATCCCAGTTGGCCCAGTGTATAGGACACAGCTGGTCTCGATTAGGGTTTACACTCGTCTGTCTGGTTCTACTTGACTTTGCTATAACTCAGAATAGTTTTCCCTCTGGGTCAGTCTCAATTTTTGACAGTCTAGCATATTATTTTTCTGTTTATTCATTCATCTATCCAGTTATCTATCAGTCTGACTGTCTAGCTGCTATTTCCTTCGGAGGCGTCTGAGTTGTTCTTGTTTTTGCAGCATTATATACAGTAACTATCCAAACACTTCTGCTTTGCATGCCAGCCTAATCCCCGCCTTGCTATTTGTGCACATGAGCAGTGAGTGATAGATGAAGTGCAGTATTTTTGTTTTATCCCTCATCAAAACACAGAGCAGGGGAGACGTTACACCAGGTATTTGGGTAGTTCATCCGTGCCTCCGAGAGAAATAACACAGCTGCAGATGGGGAGCCGAAATCAAAATGGAAACTGCCTTCTTTTTCTTCACGGCCGCAGTTTAGGCACTGACAATAAACTATCATCTGTCTTGTTGTTGCCTTTACTTCTCCACTCCCCAATTTAGAGTTAGAAACACACTGGTGTCCCTTAAATCATCCCAATACTTCAGATGCCCGGGCAGTCTGGGGATCCAGCCTCAGACATCTGGCACCCCTCAGAGTCTTAAACATTTAAGAAGATGGTGATATCCTGTTGAGTCATCAGCAAACTAAGTCATTTGCCTATGGCAGCTCCTTCATTACTGCCTTCAAATGAAATATAAGCCATTGTGTCCGATCAAATTGAATTTGCAGCCCATCCTCTTAGGTGCTAAATGCATTGATTGTTATATAAACCATCAATTTGCAGGGCCATTTCCAGATTGCCTGCCCTAGATTGCCTGGTGCAGTCACTGGGGTGGAGGGTGGACTGATGGGCCCATCTAGTGGTGAGGGTTGGGTTTTGCACTTTATAAAAAATCAGAACTAGTACTGACAAAACCCTGAATCCACTGATGTGACCTCATTTTAAATATTGACACCTATTTTTAACAATCAAGACGACTGTTTTGCAATGTAAATTTTGGAAATATTTTACTCCAATCAAAGTTGCATTTCAGCACAACAGGTAATCAGTGTTGCAAACAGGTGATTATCATGACAATCATCAGCACAAGTCAGTATAATCATAGTGCCAAACTGAACTACAAGACAGCACGGTCTCACATCAGCTGCTCTGAGATATTCATCACATTTTCTACTGTAAAATACACAAATTCAAAGTTATTTATTTCAGCAGCAGGCTAGAAAAACAGCCGCAGGCGTTTTACTGTAACTCTGCAGGCGTTTTATCGTGTCTATTCCACAGGGAATCAAACCTCCTGTTGACCTAAGTGGGAGTTACAGTCTGTAATTAGTGTTGTTTTATAGACTTCTTTGCCTTTAGCTTGTGTGTAAATTATTCTTAACAAACTATTTGTATTCAAAATGGAAAACAATGTCAT